ATGAAGAATATTTAATGCACGTTAGTATTATTTATTTATGTAAATAATTTAAAATATATAAATAATTTTAATATTAAATAGTGTATAAATATTTTACAAATTATGCACACATGTTTTTTTGAATTTAATTTTATATATTGATTAAACAACTTTGATTTAGCAAATAGAAAAAAATTAATCCATTCTATAATCAATATTTTTCTAATTGCTTTATAAGAATTTATATTTTATTTATATTTTACAAGAATTTCATTATAGAAAGAAATCAAAATAACAAAATGATAAAAAAATAAATAATCATGGTTGCCAACAATATACAAATAAATTCTAAAGAACAGTTAATATATTTCAATTTTAATTTTTTACCATTGGCAAAACTATTTACTGATCTACTCATTATCTCTTAAATGGTAAATTATATTAATTTAAAAAATAATTTATTTTTTATATATAACGAAATAAAACTTAAGAAAAAATTATATTGCAAAGATTAATCACCAACATGATTTCGCCTGATTAATTGGATGAAAAAATCATACCTAACTTGTTACGATTTTCTACAAATTTTTTTGGATAAAAAAGTGAATATTTGTGAAAAAAATTAATATTATGGTTAAACGTTAAAATCTGTTGTAATATCTATCTTTACCAAAATATTATCAGCATGAATCACGAAAAATCAATCTTGTAATTTATTATAATGAATATTAATGAAATCATTGGAGATATTGATAAAATTATTTAAGGAAATATTATTTATGATAATATCTGATTTGATCTTATTTAAAAAACATGTATATTGAAGCAATTAATGCATATATTTAGAAAGTTTTCAAATAAAAATGTATGCATTAAATGCTTCTAAAATTTTTAACTACTATTTTTATTAAATAGTTTATTTTTATTATATATAGATATTTTTTGCAGAAAATTTATTACTATTTTTAGTAAATGTTAAATCTTGTTCTATACACTAGTGCATGGCCCGTGCGATGCACGGGAAAACAATATTACGATTGTCTTATAAATTAAATATATGAATAACATTATAATTTATCAATTAATTTTAAATTAAACCGAGTTAGACACAGTCCCACCAGATGGACCGAGAACCGGTTTAAAACCAGTTTAGTTCGCTTGAATAAAATATTTGCTCTCGAATCCGTCAACACCAGGATCAATACGATTTTCTAAATAAATTTTGTTATATTTAAAATTATTTTAAATAAAATAGAGATTTATAAATTATTTATCAATTAGTTTAAACATTTGAATTTATAAATTGTTTAGATGTCTAAGTAACACATTTTATTTAAATTTATTACAAAAAGTACTATATATATATATAAATGTTTATAAATTAAAATCTGAACAAACCACAAATGATTTAATAAAATAGTTTGATCGTTTCGATGACGGTCCAATTCTGAAAACCTTATATGTACTTTACATTAATAAATATTATAATAAAATATTATTTAATTCACATAAATATTAATAAAATGATATACAAATATTCATAAATCATTAAACATGTTGTCATAAAAGTATTGCTAATAAGATTATTTGAAGTTTGGACTACATCACATTCACGTAATAACATATTTTCAATATAAAATTTATATTTAGGTTCAATAATCGATTTAGTGTGGTCGAATTGATGCATAACTTAGTCACCTGGGACCAACCAAATTGTGTTAAGTTTTTTGACTATTTTAAATATAAGTAATTCAATCAACCTAGGCAACATCCTAATTCAATCACCCGATTGATCCGAAGAAATTTTCTTATTTTCTGTAAATATATTTAATTTTATGAAATAAAAATAATTTATGATTCATACAATAAATGTCTACACCAAATGATAGTATATTAAGATTATAAATTATATATCTAAAGATGAATTAATTATTTTTACTTTATGCATATTAATAAAAAATAAACATAGTAATTTTTGAAAAATTAAGATTAATTGATTGATTGATTGATTATGCAATTTAAAGAATATTTTTAGCGTTCAATATTCTTTTTAACGCACAAATATTATGACCGAGATTCTAAAACTTTTGTTATATTTTCAATTGAGATTTTATAAATATAGAGACCGAGATTTTAATGTTGTTCGTTGTTTTTAAGAAAAAATTAAAAATAAAAACATACACACTTAATAAATATTAGCCAAATTTTTTAAATAATAAAATGAACTAAAATCCGAAATTTAAGGTAACATTTAATGTTGTAGGATTTTTAAAGAAAAAAATAAGAAAAGTAATAAAACTTACTATATATAGGCTGCATTAAATTTTGACCTATTTTTTTGCTACTATTTTTGGTAAATGTTAATTCTTATTATATATACTAGTACAGAGCCCGTGCGATGCACGGGGTGCACAATTTTAAGGCTATTTATTCAGGCTTATAATTATATACATGAATAATGAAAAACGTACGGGATATATATAGTACGTGACCCGTGCGAAGCACGAGATATATTTATTTGGAGAATATTATATTATAATATGCAATATTCAATAAAAGTTTATAATACGCAAGAAATTGTACAATGTTCAATAAAAGTCTTATAATATTCAAGTGGAGTCTTAAAGTCTCTTGTACATTAAGACTACTGACAAAATAAAATTTTAATCAATGAGTTTTCTTTCCTTGTAGCCAAATTGTGAATATGATTTGAGGAGTACAACAAATCGATATATAGCTGACTTGCTTTTTTCATTATAGTTTTTTTTTTAATGAATTTAAAGATATTCTAAAATATAGCAAAAATTAATTTTTTTATTACAATTAGGAATTTTACTAAATATAAACTCTCAATCTATGGTGTTAATCAACGTTTAAGTCTAAAAAATTAGGAATTTTTACCTCTTTTAATCAACGTTTAAGTCTAAAAAACAATAGAGTTATTATAAGTTTTTTTTCTACATCTTTTAAAACATTAAATATGAGCATGTTAGGGCTAGCTTGTAAAATAATTAATATATTATCTCACTAAAACATTTATACTAATAAAAATTTAATTTTAGCATATAAATTTATCCCTTGATATAAGAGAAAGTAACAGTTTTACTTATTGTTGTTCACCATATAATATTTAATTATTATTTTATTATATAATAAAAAAGAATATTGTTAAATAGTGTAGTAGAATTGTTATAAAATTATATGATTTTTTTTTTTTACAATACGGATTTAATATTTTTTTTATGATTTGATAATATAAAAAAATCTATACTTAACTTTGACAAATAAAACAAATAAATACTTTAGTAAGTATTTAATGTATATATTAAATAGGAATATATTTGGTATAATCAAATACCAAATATAATAAAATAAGTCAAAGTGTACATTTTTATTTGGTATTTGATTTTTTTATTATTAAAATCTTTTTATTATACTTACCTTTTTAAAATAAAATAAATAAATAAATTAATTAAATAAATAAAATATTATAATACCAAAATAGTAATGACATTTAATGCAGTTGACTTTTCTAGATAGTAAATGTAGTAAATAGAATATTCTTTTATATAGTATAATACAAAAATAGTAATGCAATAAATGCTGTTGACTTTTTTGGCTACTTAATTTGGTAAATAGTACCCCCCTTTAATATAAGTATAGATATAGATATATAATAATAAAAAAAATAAAAAAAAAAATGGCAAGGTAGGATCAATTCAGCGTTTGGAAATTAAAAAATGATTGACCGGCACATTGTCATTCTTCTCGCCAAAGGGATAACACTCTATAACAGAAGGATTATTATTGTAAGAGCATCTCTAATGCATTCTTTTGAAAGGGTAAAAAGTTATCCATCTAATCTAGATAGAAAGTGTGTGAATAATATATCCTCCAATGCATTAGATTATGAGTCCTTTCATGCTTATGTGTAAAAAAATAATGTTAACATTGTCAATCTCACTTTTTAATTTCTCACATTCTTTCTAACATGATGACTCATCATTTTGATAATTATTTGACACAAATTTTGAGCTTTTCATAAACTTGAAAAAATCCCACCCTTACATTTATCCAATAAAACATTTGAGAATTTATTTGAATACAGTATAATTATTTGATGAGTTACAACTAAAATTTAAAAAATTTATCAATAATAATGTCCTTAAAAGTAAAATATTATGTTCATGATATTTGTTTATTGAGTTATTACAATTTTAATATTTTGTTGTTTTATTTTGAACCAATTAAAAAAATATTTATTGTGTGGTTATACATATTGTAACTGAGAAATTATTGAATAAATAATAATTTTATAAATTTGATGATATAAATAAAAATTAACCGAATCAACAAAAAATAACATCATGCATATAATTATTGGAATTTGTGGTTTTTTTCTAATATACTCTTTGATTTTATTAATAATTGAATAAATCCACATATACAAATTGTATGGTTGTTGAATGGATGCATTGGAGGCAACAATTCAAATGAAAATCCTATTCTTTTAGAGCATCTCCAATGTAACTTTTGACATTATAAAAATTCATCCATATCATCAACTTTTGAAAGTTTGTTACAAATTTATTCTCCAATGCATCTTGTCATAAACTCTTTCATGATGAGGTGGATATCATTTAATGTTGACAATGTTAAACACACTTTCTAATATCTAACACCATGTTAAACATGATGACTAATTAATTCACTTTATATTTGATTTAATTTTTTATTGTTCTTGTATTAATGATTATTTTAATTGGTCCACCTATACATATAACTTCTTATCAAATTGATGCATTGGAGATACTAATTTGATTCAAATTTCTACTCTTTTAACATTATTCCTACATGGGTTAACATTACAATCATTGATTGACATGTGTTAAAAATTATTGTCTTTCAAAGTTATAACATTGGAGATGCTCTTAACATTCAGTTCATGTAGATTAAACATTAACTCATTGATTGACATGTGTTTAAATTTAATTAATGTTGAAAGTTGAGCATTGGAGATGGTCTAATAAACACAAAAGGTGGTTTTATTGGTTAGGTAAATCCAGACGCACTGAGCCAACAAAACTATAATTGGAAGCTGCCATTATTGCCTTTTGAGCACCCACGCCAATTCCGGCCAACGCGCTTGTTTTGCCCTTGCTTTTCAAACTATTTTCTGCACCACTTCCCTCTTCTTCCTGTTCCCTGAATAGATCTGCCCAGTTTCGTGCTATCGGCGTTGTTCTGTATGCGCGCGCGGCGAGGAACTGCGAAATTCTCCACTTGAATCAACCGGTTATGCGGGTTGGTTCTTCTTCATCAAGATCAGTTTGCGGCATGATTGCTTTATGTGTTACCACTGGAGGGCCTATTTCCAAATTTCTGATCTTTTTTTCGAATCTGATCTTTGTCCTGGAGGAAAATGCTTTTGAACTTTTAACTCCATTTACCCATTATATCTGTTAGGTTCTGATCGACGTGTATCTGTGACTGGGCCCGTAGTCCCATTATATCTGTTGAGGTCTCTGTGATCAAGAGAAAGAGCTAGAGCAGAATTTCAGTATTTGAGGTAGAAATTGCTGTTTCTCCACCTCATTATTTTATTTTATTTTATTTTTGTCAAATTACTATTGCAAATTGCTGATAGTATTTGTTATCTTCTTACTTTTCTGGGATAAGACTGTTGTCGTGTGTGGTGCACTTGCCCGCAAATGGGGCCAATATACTACATACTGATAGCACTGCCTTGTACGATTGGGGCAATGACGTTGGCAATCCTCCACATTCACAAACATCTCTTGAATTATACAGAGCCCACATACCAGAGATACATTGTCCGCATTATCTTTATGGTTCCTGTAAGTAGTTTTCTTTCTTTGGTGTTTGACTTTGTGATGGCATTTTGTATTTGGATTCCAAGTTGATATCATCGAATTCTTATCTAGTTGTATGCTTACTTAGTTTAGAAATTCTTTGCTTTTTTGAGCAAATAAATTTAGTGCTTTAAATAAGAGGCCGCTCATTTGTTATTTATTGATTGGTATGAGACGTATGACTAAGATTTCCCGATCTTTGGAGTCGTCTTATATTAAATAGTTGATTGATTTAGTTACATATAATATTTCGCCCACTCTATATTCCTTGGGATATTCTTAATTCCAAGCAAGAAGTTATGTAGGAGGCATCAGAAACATGCGGTTGTCACTATGTTTTAGTTGAAGCTTGTTGCTCTACCTAAACCCTGCACGAACATCAATTCCCAGCATGAGAAGTCATGCGGTAGGTGATTAAACCCTTGATACATGCTTGGCATAAATAGACTTGGTGGCATGAGTATCAACAATTAGCATAATCATCATTATGTTTTTGTTAATCTATTCCATTTTAACTATCTTAGTCTTCTTGTTGATACAAATTTGAGCATGTCACTTTTTTTTTTGAGAAACCTTGGAAAATTTAAAGACACCTAAATTTTGAAACTATTGAAGTCTTTCCTGCTGTTGAAATGAGCCGATATAGATCCTGATAAACATTAAATCATGGGTAATTCGGGTAGCAATAAGATACTTCTGGTGGAAGTTTCAATCATGTCCGAGTTATCCTTAATGAGAAGGAAGGTGGTGAGGATATTGTGATGCAAACTAAAAAGGTGGCGTTAACATTTGGGAATATTTTTTCTATGCTACATGCGCTACTTCCTATCTTGGGAGGAGGTTTGGCCATCTGAAGCACATTATTCTTGTCTATAATTGGCAGTTGCAGTCTTCTTAGGAAAAACCTGTCTCTATTATTGGTCTTTTTATGGTACTTGTGGTGACATGCTTGCTATAGAAGCTTATTTCCATAATGGATGACGATTATATACTTAATTCTTCCACCAACTACCCAGTAGCGGCATGGATCCTTGTATAAGCAATAATTGGCTCGAAAGTTGATCTTGGAGTATACCTATATGGTGAGATATGGATATGAAGTTGGAAGGGATATGGGGCTTAATTTTGGGTTTAGATTACTTGATATTTAACAGTTCAAGGCTGTTGTTGTTTGCTGTGAACAAGTATCATGGATTGCAAAAATTGAATGATGATAAGGAAGAGAGAAGAAGCAGAAGATAAAGGGGAGACGAAATTCTCACATTGTAAAATTAGATTTGAACAATTGTGTATATTATTGGTGTTGGAAAGGTAATTTTCATATTTCCGTATATGCCAAATGAAATATATTTTGGAACTATTCTACTATAAACAAGGCTTAGCTGGCTGCTCTGTGTAGGGAGCTGAAGACACAGAGCAGAGAGTGGAGCATAAAAACCCCTAGCCAATTAACTTTTTTAATATTTCAATTTATCCTTGTGTGTGTGTGTGTGTATAATATATATTTTGTTAGCTTCTTAAGATTTTTGTCAAGTACAAAAGTGCTGCTTTATGCTGCTAATTTAGGCACTTCTCATCTTTACTACTAAGTAAAAATGACCGCAACTATGTCATCTCTAAATTCTTAAAAGATACTTTTTTTAAAAAAAAAATTTAATTTCTGAATCTATTTTATCCCAAATGTTGGTATTCATTGCAAGTAGTCATGCTCTCGTTATTGAATTCATTATATTTTGGATTTTGTCCCAGTGACAATTACTGAAAAAGCCGTCGAATTTATTTTGCTAAGTCTACTTATAGATCTGTTCTAATCATCTGCAAATTCATTATTTGACAGGTGTATGCATTGATGTCTTTCTTATCCTTGATCATAAATAAGGGTGCAATTTACTTCAATTCAATCAGAGAAATGTAAGTTTGTTTACATATATATATATATATATATATATATTTTAGGAACAACCAACACTTAATGAATAAAACTCATTGCTACCATTGTTTTGTGGTATGCTTATTTCACTACTACGAATGTCTGCCTCTTTCTTTATTTAATCATCTATAGATAAGTATAAGAACACTTACTATGAGATCTTACGATGGCATTAGAAGTGAGTGAGATCAAGGAAATGCTTTAGACTTGTATTTTCATGTTAATTTCTTTTGCTTCTGGATTCTGATGGTCCAATTGTCTGCAGATATGAAGCCTGGGTCATCTATAACTTTTTGTCACTGTGCTTAGCATGGGTTGGAGGTCCAGGAGCTGTTGTGTTAAGTCTGACTGGAAAAGTTATGAAGCCGAACTGGTGTTTGATGACGTGTTGCTTTCCTCCAATTCCATTGGATGGGTGAGTCTTTTTTATGTGGACTACCATTTGTTTGACCCCCTACACTAAATTTTTGTCTGTAATTCAAGGTATACATTTTATCAATTGACTGAAGGACCGAAGTTGCGTGGTACATGTTTACAATGAAAGCCAAGACCAAGAATACACGCTCATGTAGATATTCTGTTGGATGTTTTTTCTTTCATTTTTCCTTTTGTGTCGTATGCTGTATAACCATACCATGGTTATATTTATCAAATTGGAGCCTTTAACTAGTTCTTCAATATTTTTTGGTATTGAGGAACAGGTATAGGCTTTTCTAGTTGAACATTGGACTCGAAATATTTTTCTCGATGGTTCTGCATTCTTCTCCAACTCTGTAATGCATTAATTAATGATTGGAAAGGATGTTATCAAACATCCTTTGGAACGATGAAGGGCCTTAATTTTCTCACTTTCATTTGTCCTTTTGGAGAATTTAAAATAATAACAAAAAAATGGCTGACTTTTTTTAATGTACTTGTATAATTTTATATCTATTAATTGTTTTACACTACTTGGTATTACTGCTTAATTGGCGCTATCCATTTTTTTCACCATCATTCTTTAGGTCGTTGAGTAGCTTTGTGAAGTGTCCTATGTATTACTCAGTTTTATACCTCTTGAAAAACATTGTATATTCTGAAAGCCCGCTGAGTGTTAATAACATCATTCTTTAAACTGTACTCTTTGAGAGCATATTCTGATGGTTTGGATAAATATTCTCCCTCACACATATGAATGTTACACTTCCTAATTACACTTATTTTTTTTTTTCTTTTTATGTCATGCAGGCGCTTTATACGAAGATGCAAACAGGGGTGTTTGCAATTTGTGATCCTCAAGCCCATTCTTGTCACAGTTACTTTTATACTATATGCAAAAGGGAGATATGAAGATGGGAATTTCAACCCAAGGGAGTCCTATCTTTACCTCACCATAATCTATACAATCTCGTACTCTGTGGCACTTTACGCCTTGGCTTTGTTTTACGTGGCATGCAGGGATTTGCTTCAGCCTTTCAACCCAGTACCTAAGTTTATTATAATCAAGTCTGTTGTATTTCTTACTTATTGGCAGGTAACGTAATTGTAAGCTCTTAAAATTGTCAATATACTTATTACTGGTTGATATTGGAAGTTAACTTCTTTTGAAGTAGTAAAATTTTATTGAACATCCAGCTTCTAGTGTTTTACTTGCCGTGAATTCTAATTTATTTACCATTTTTTTTTCCACAATTTTATCGGATGTCCTCAAAGGAACCGGGATATCATATCACGTTGTTATTTAATCTAGCTGCACAACACCTTGAACAATTTGACATTTATACTTCATTGAATTTCTGGACATGAAGATTTGCACTTGAATTTTGTTCTCATTGCCATAACAAAGCATCTGTGTTTGTCTGGTTTTACTTAAGTTTGATACTTACTGCCCTGTGCTTCGTTCTGTAACCTTTTTTTTTTCCAAGAACCATGACTGAGTTTAAAGAAGATTGTTATTTTATGCAGGGTGTTCTCGTTTTTCTTTCCGCAAAGTCTGGACTAATAAAAGACACAGAGGAAGCTGCTGAGTTTCAAAATTTCATAATTTGTGTTGAGATGCTTATTGCTGCCATTGGTCACCTATATGCTTTCCCCTACAAAGAATATGCCGGTGCAAATATCGGTGCTAGTCGTGGCCTTACAGCAAGCCTTGCGCACGCTCTCAAATTAAACGACTTTTACCATGATACTGTACACCAGGTAAAAAAGAAAGACTACAAAACGATTTGGTACTTGTTTAAAAGAGAAAAGCANAGTTTGCGCCAACCTATCATGATTATGTGCTGTACAACCATGGGGAAGGTGATGAAGGGGCTAGAAAGTATCGGGCCCGCACTTTTGTTCCAACTGGCCCGGAAATGGATACAGTTAGGAAAAACAAGCATATGTTTGTAAATAAGGCGGATGAAGTGCAGTTATCACAAAATCAAGCTCCTCAACTGAAATCAGAGGCCCAATACTCATCATTGCTGAGGGATACTTCTGCTTCTGTGCCTTACGATCTTAACCTAATTGACATCGACATTTCAAGTTACCCAACTAATGCACCTTCCCGAACAAGATGACACGACTGTCGAGAAAATCGAGTCTTTAGATTTCTCATCTTTTTGTTTTGATGTTAACTCTTTCTTGTTTGGTTGCTGACTTTAGGTTTTGTATATGTAAGTGGACTATTTATTATTATTTTTTTTTTATTATTATTTTTTTTTACCTTTTCCTGCAGTCATAGGAATTAGGTGAAGAATGAGACTGTTACTTGCAGTTGTGCTGTAGATGCAATCATTATTCTCGGCAATATTGCCAATCGAAATTAGGGGAGTTTGATTTGCATTGAAATTACATTTTGCCATTTGATTTTATGTCTGCATGAAAATAATCAACAATCGGGAAGTGAATGAATCATAGCAGGAACTCCTCGGGTGTAGTCTGCACAATCTGTCACCCTTTAATTTAAGGCTGATTTATTGTGAATTAAAGGTTAAACTAATCTGAGTTTAGAAATAAATAATATCTGCATTTTCTGATTTTGCTGGCATTTTCAAGTCTTAAGCATCATAAGTAGAAGTAGACATCGGATGCGTGCATTACGGGTTGGTTGCTTCTGTCTTGATCATTTGATTACTACTTTAATCTGTCACTAAATTCTTACTCAACTCACTTTTCAAGTTTTTCCTTTTTTTTTTTATTAATTATTATTATCTCTAATAGCCTTTGTCTGAACTTTTATTCTTGGAATACTTATGTTAGAAGTTCTATATTATCAATGCATGAACCTAAAAACTCTTGTTTTTAATAATTAACACCACAAAATGAATATCGTAGTGATTTGCGTGTCGTATTATGAATCGAGATTATATCATTGCACGATGATTGAAACTTAGCAAACATCAAATTAGTCTATGATTAAGTTGTACGTTGTTGTCCTATGTCGTCAGCTTACATAATTTGAGGCCGAGAAACATGTACCGGGTCTGAGTTGTTTTCACATAAGTTATTAAGTTTGGCATTCAGTTAAGCCATCTAATACAGAATGAATTTTCTTTTATTTTGTGACAAATAAATCCTACACCCTAATCTATATCTATATATAAAGATAATAACCATTTACTAAAAATAGTAGCAAAAAAATCTTGAAGCATTAAATGCATACCTTGTTTGAAAACTTTTAAAATATATGCATTATTTGCTTTTATATACACAATTCCAAATCAGATATGATCAAAATGATTTTTTCCTTTAATAATTTTATTAACATCTGACAATATTTTTATTGATATCCATTATAATAAACTACAAATTTAATTTTCCCTGATTCATATTGATTATGTTATTGTCAAGATGGACATGAAAATATATTTTAAATTCTAAGCATATATTTTTTTCACAAATATTGACTTTTCATACTAAAATATTTATGGAAAATGGTAACATGTTAAGTAATTTTTTCTTCATTTTTATTTCATTATATATAGAAAAAAGAAAAATAAATTATTTTTGAATTTAATATAATTTATCATTTAGGAGATAATGACTAGATATATTAAAATTTTTATTAATGGTCAGATAATGAAATTGTAATATATTAACTATCCTTTAGAATTTCAACATGTGATTTATTTATATATTATTGTTAACCATGATTATATTTTTATCATTTTTTTTATTTTGATTTCTCTCCATAGTGAAATTCTTTTAATATATATTTCCATTGCATAGTATGTTGAATAAACTATAAAGCCTTATGATGCAAATTAGAAAAATCAAAGATGTTTAATTATTATAAAAAAATAAATTATAAAAAAATATTTGTGTATATTTTGTAAAATATTTGTATACAATGTTTTATTATAAATTTATTTTGCATAATTTAAATTAATTACATTAATAAATAATATTAACATACATTAAATATTTTCATTACATAAAGAAAAAAGAAGAAGAAGACTACATCTATAACGTTTATAAATTATAATCATGACATTATATTACAACAAATTTCATAATAAAATAATAATTGAATATTGTAGGAGCAAGAATAAGTAAAATTGTTATTTTTCTTACTATAAACGTGTTAGCGAGATAATATATTAATTAATTTACGAGCTAGCGCTAACAAACTCAGGTTTAACGTCTCGACAAAAAAACGACGCTGATGAAAAGAGGTGGAAAATAGATAATTCAACTCTATTATTTTTTAGCCCTTAACGAACAAGCCCTATGGAAATTTCCCATTTAATATCTCTTTCCGTGCGCACGAGCTATTTAATATACAAATTCTATGAAAATGATTCATTTATAATATCTTTGTCCCGTACATTGCACGGGCTACGTACTAGTAGATGTGAAGTGGAAAAGAGATTTTCTTTTTTTATTCAGTGACGGTAAATATATGGGAAAAAAAAAAAGAGATTTTCCTTTTAAATAATGACGGCAAAAATATGGACAATACATTTACATTTTTATGTAGTGATGGCAAATATGTGCAGCATAGCTTAGTGCAATAATATAAACTAGTACAATACACGCGTATTACAAGGGTATTGAATTAGAAAACTTTTATAAAAAAATATTTTTTTTTAAAAAAACTAAAATAATTTAATTTTATATAAAATATTACTTCGGATTTTAATTAAATTGTCAAATTATATTTTTTTAATCATAATAATTAAATACCCATACATTAAATAAAAATGTCAACCCGTGTTGAATTTTTTTTACTTATATCATATAAAAATATCGATATTATTTACTATTACATAAGTACAAAAATATATATCTTAAATAAATAGAAATAATATGGTGATATGTATATGTATAAGTGTCGAGTTTATTTAATATTAAACAAAATAGATTGATTTTTTTTACTTAATTAGATGCCTAATACATCAAGTGTCGTATCGGTCGTGCTTCACAGTTTTTTAACTTTGTATTTTAGAATTTATATAAATAATTATTTATTTTTATTGCATTGACAACATACCAATTAAATTTGAAATATATATCATTTTTAAAAGAATACATACCAATTTCTATTACTTTATAATATAATTTATAGTTTCATTTGATATAGTTTAATTTAGTTTGATAAATAACTTTAAATTTTATTTATAAGGATATATATTATTTTTTTGTATTATTTTTATATATAAATAAATAGTAACATACAAACGGACTTCATAATATCAATTCAAATGCAACACACTAATTAAGATTTTTTTTTCTTGACGATATTAACCCTATCTAATGTATGTTATGGGAAACGATGGAGATGGGATATGAAGAGACACTGTGTATTGGATGGAGGGTTAAAAATAGAAAAATATGAGAAAAATATCTAATACGACATTTATTTTATCAATGATCAATTAAGTCAAAGTGACAAATTATAAAAATAGGAGGGAGTATATATTATTATATATTTTAGTATTACACATGTTACGACTTATATGTGTTATATTATAATGAATTTTCTACCTTATAATAGATAACTACATTAAACATAAATATATTAATTGATCATAATTTTATTTTCTAATTAGTATTAGTATATAATTATTTTATTATTATAAAGATAAATATAATTTATTTATTTTATATATACAATATGGATGTCAAATCGAAGCTCATCAAAAGATCATTAATTTGATATATTATATATGTAAAACTGATAAGAAATACAAAAGTTATCATCTTTTAAAATATATTTTCTATTCAATGGTTATAATAGGAAACGATATTAAAATACAATTAATATAAATATTAATTTATATCCAAACCTAACTCCAAAACATAATTTTTTGCCAAATAGGATTCCGAAGCATGAAAATATAAAAATTTGCCACATAGGCTCAGCGCATTCTGAAATTATATATAGAGGGGATATGTACAATAATCAGGTAGATGATGGTTCAAAGTATCTTATATAAAATGAAGGGTTTGATAGAAAATGGAGAAGAGGTCTACTTTAGGATCTATTTACCGTTTAAAAAAAAAATAAAAAAAAATTACATTAATATAGTTTTCTAACTTTTATTCGATTGTCCTTTTGATCCTAAAAGGAATGGTAAATGCTTATTGATCTATCTTTAATTTAATATTTGATTATCCCAAAGCAAATTCTATAGATTTTAAACAGTCTAGTTTTAACGATTTTGGACTAACTCCAGTAAACTTCAGGCTAATTGTTTTAGACTAAAAAAAGTTTCAATTTAAACGGAATAATATGTAACCTAACTCTAACTTTAATGAGCTTTGGATGGGTTCTTAATGAGTCATTTATCAAAGTTTAAATTTATAAATTTTAATGAAAAAAAATTAATTTAAACATACATGATATTTAATTTGAAATATGTACATAAGTTTAGCTAAATTACATTAATAAATAATAAAACTATATATTTTATATAACAATATGATTATTGACATGTACTAAATGATTCTTACTATATAGCAAAAAGAAAAATAACTCTATTACATTTTTTTTTAAATAATAATATAATTTAACATGACTATAAATTTTAGAATGAAAAAGTGGAGTATTATGTATTGAACAAAAACTAGTGATTCAAGAGATAAATATGAATATTAGTATATTATTTATAATTTAACGTAAATTTGTTAGCGAGCTAACTGATTAACATACAAATTAGTCCTAAGAGCACTCACAATGCTTTGGGTCTCTTTTTAAATAGACTTAAGTCTATAATGACATGGACAAATCCAAGCTAAAAAATCCAAAATCTATCCAATGCAAAAAAAAGTACTAGGTCTAGAATACCTAACAACCAAAAAAAATATAATAATAATAAATGATTGCTATTGTAAGATTCACACTTGGGTCCAAAATAGACCCAAGAGTGGATTTGTTTACATAAGCGAGAAAGATCCACTTTTAATTGCATTGTGAAACACTTTTTTATAGACTGAGTCTATTTCCTACATGACATGTGATTTTTTTTAAAGAGACCCACAACATTGTGGGTGCTCTAATGAGATCGGTCAAACTGATTCCACCAATAGAATCCTAATTTAGGGGTGTTAGAAAATAAAAGACCTAACCTTATTAATATCTTTCAAGCTAAACGGGTTGACGTATTACTAGTCGACCTGTGCATTTGCACAGATACAAATAAATATTATAAGTTATTTGTATGCATTTAATATTAAAATTATAAGTTAGATAATAGTATTATATTTTAAACATAGAGTATTATAAGTTATGTTTATGCATATAATATTAAGTTAGATAATAGTATTATGTTTTAATGTTTGACCATTGGTTAAAATAAATAATGCATAACAATTTGATTGCATACGAACACTACAAGAAAATGATGAAATTCCAACGGAAATATATTCCAATAG